TACTAGCTCTGTGTGTGACCTTTTGTGACTACCAAGCTGAAGACCACTGTCTTTTTGACAGCCTTTTCCTTTTTCTACATGGCTTAATCCATCCATCAAAAACACAACAGCTAGGCAATAGGAACAGAAGCAGGCCTAACCCACCATGGTAGGGAAGAGATAAAGAAAAGGAATGAACAAACACACGCAGGCAGGCAGCCAGGAGCGCAGGCATGCATGCATGCACCTACGGCACATAATCTATGAGGGTTCTCAGCATATCTTATTTGTATCACAAGGAAGTGAAACTGGGAGAGGTGACAAGGTGACCCCACATCCTCTTCCAGCCTCGGCAGGCAGCAGGCATGCCCATGGTCCACACACCAGGAATTCTGGAGGCCACTCTGAGAAGACAGCCCCGGCACAGAGACATGAAGGACAAGAAGCTGTCAAGATGATGAAGTATGTTCCATGCAGGGGAAGCAGCAAGGTTGAGGCTCTAATGAGGAACTAGCTTGCAGTTTTGAGGAAGAGAGACTTTGGTACAAGGGTGGTCAACAGGTGTGGCCAGAGTAGTAAGCAGGAGAGGCAACAGGAACCAGGTCAGGTAGGGCAAGAGTCTGGTCTTTATTCAAGGTGCAACAGGAAGCCACTGGAGTCATGGGCAGGGAAGTAAGATGGCCCAGATATTTTCTCAGCTAGCGAGTGGGGACCTGTCACACAATCTTGCTGAGTAACTACCAAAATGGTTATGACAGTGAGGGTGGAGGCCAGAGGCTTGTTCAGCTGGACTGGTGCAGTCTGCAGTACTGTAGGAAGCTGGGCAGCATGGCTGCCTGGACAGATGAATACTGTGTGAGGGAAGAGAAGGCTCTGCACCCTTAGAAGGAACAATGAGTGGATGAGGCAGGACAATGTCAGACCAAGGTGAAGCAGATGAGTCTAGTAAGAGGCTCAGTGAGCACTTGGCAGAGAGAGGTGAGATCAAGGCCAGCTTTGCCTACACAGTGAGTTCCAGGCCAGCCAGAGCTACATAGTGAAGCTTTGTCTCAAAAGCAGGCAAGCTAGCTACCTTAAGAAAGAGCTAGAAGCATGGAAGAGGTACACTGTTAGCTAGGCTGTGGGGTATCACTCCCCAAAAAGGTATGGTTCCTGAGAAGACAGAGGGGCCAGAAAATTAAAGAGGAGATACAACGCCGTCGAAAAGAAGAGATGGTTGGTCAAAGTCATGCAAGAGAAGTCTCCAGGGAAGACTCAACACAAGTAGACTCAGTATGGCGCTCCTCAGTGCTGACCACAGGGGAGTGGCAGCCCCACCAAACTCCATCTCCAAGGTCCAGTTTGTACTTCCCAAAATTTGTTCACCTGCTGCACTCAACATATTCCTCAGAAATAGAAGCGCTAAAAACTGTCTAATGGAAACAATTTAAGTAAATGGGAAAGTGAAAGAGCATTACTATATACAGGTATGCATGCAGCAGAAAGCTGAAGAGGGGAGGGGCTCAGCAGGGTCACTCCAGAAACTTCAGATCCAAGCTCACAGTACTGTAAAGCTCAAATAAAAAACGCAAGATGAAACCTACACACTGACAGCCTAGCAGAGGATGTTCTGGCGTGGTGGAGGGAAGATGGAGCCTTTTCTCGAACAGGTTACAGTACCCCGTTTTCAGTCCTCTTCTATAATTCAGAAACGTGATCAAAGAGAACCAGGGACCCAGACCGCTGACATCCTTGATTTAAGCCTTCAGTGTGAGCTCATGACCTCAACCCCACTGTTACACCGCTTTCAATGCCTATTCCTGAACTCAGGGTTTACAAGAGCCGGGTATGAAAGTTTGGGAAGCTTTCTAGGGAGTTGAGAGCTGCGCGGAACCTCTTTGTACAGGAAAGTCCAGAAAATGGAAAGAGCCTGGAGGACAGCAAGCTCAACCAGACAGACAAGAGACCTTCAAGAGACTCCCAGGGTATAGCCGACTACTAGGTGGCAGGGGAGAGGCCTGTGGGGTACTCCCCGGGGGACAGCGGTGGCGAGGGTGAGGTAGCATCTCGTTAAGCTGTGAAAAGGTGGACAGGTGATCCTGCGATACCACGGCCACACCGCGACCCCACCTTCCCGCTCCGGCGCCTCTCCGGACCCGCCTCGCTGCCTACCAGTCGGTCGGGGATTTCTCGGTGACCACACGCACGTAGGCCTCCTGCAGCGCCGGCCCGTTCCGGCTCAGGTTCACCGCCATGGCACGCCCCACGGTCCCAGCGAGGCAGCCGCTTCACCTTTCCCCCTGCCTCCACTGACGGCCGGAAGCCCCGCCCCGGAGGCCGGAAGCCTCGCCTCTGACGAAGCCGCGCCCAGAAAGCCGGAAGCGGAAGTAGAGAATTTACGCGCTAGTTTGCGGTGGGCTTGACCTGGTGTGGCTGATGGTGAATTAAGATACGGGAGGGGCTGGTCGGCTATACAGCCTAGTCCGCAGTCCCCAAGGCGTGGCCTCGAGCACTGTGCTAGTTCTTTTTTCACTCTTGTTTTATTTAATGTATTTTGTTTGAGCGCAAGCTTAGATTCACAAGTCTCTAAAAGAGTACTCCCGAACCTGGGTATAAACATGCACCTCAGAAATTTAATCTGATAGCCGGGTAGTGAAGGCACTCACCTTTAACAGCAGCACTCGGGTAGCTGAGGCTGGTGAATCTCTAAATTCAGCCCAGCCTGGTCAGAGCAGGTTCAGGGAACAAGCAAAAAGCAAAAAAAAAAAAAAAAAAGTCTTAAGTACTACCATTTTGTTTTCAGTCCATTTAATCATAGGAAGAAATTAACTTTCAAGTCCCGGGCCCTCGGGGAGTTGGGGACTTCCCAATAGCTGAACAGCTTTGTTATAAGGAAACAGTTGTCTGCGTCCAGCCGTCTCGGATAATTTTTAAGTTTGACACAGTCATCTGAGTCCAGCCATTTCAAGAACAACTTCTTGTTTCTGGCAGGGTCAAACAAGTTCTGGACTAAGGACCTACTCCTACCAAGACTGATGGAAGCTACCTTAACCTCGTATGTCAAAATATGATTAAACAATGGTACAAACTTTCACCCTTTAAATATGCAATACAGCTTCCCCTTCCGGACTCAGATCCTGAAGTGGCCATCTCCCTGCATGAGCAGAAAATAAAGCTTGCATTTTCATATCTGCAGTGAGTTTTCTCAGCTTCCACCCTGAACACAACAGTTCCAGGACAGCCAGGACTACACAGACTAACCCTTTCTGTAAAAATAAAAAAGAAAAAAAAATTAATCTGTGGTGTTGAGCATGAAGGCACTGGCATATGATCCTAGCACTGAGGAGGCAGAGGCAGAAACTTAAGTTCTAGGCTGGCCTGGGGATCAGCTAGATCATTTAAATAAAATCTTTTAAAAATTGATGAGATAGTGGGGTAATGAGGAGAATCTGCTTTGTGCTTCATTTTTACTTCAAAAACACTTGCCTGACCTTCCAACCTATGACAGACCATAATTTTTGTAAACTAAAATAAACACTTTCTTCTCTAAATTGGGTTCAGTCAGGGTATTTTATCACAGCAAGAGAAATGAAACTAGAAGAGTGGGGCTTGAAGTTACTACATTTAAACTGTTGTAAGAATGGGGCTGGAAGTCCCTCAGCGTAGCGTTGCATGGCTTTAATCCCAGCACCGGTGAGGCAGAGGCAGGCCTGGTCTGCATAGTGAGTTCCAAGAGAGAGCCTCACAGACAAAAGGGGTGGCGGAGGAGGGTGCAGTGCGGGAGAGATGGCTTGGCTGCTCTTCCAGGAAACCCAGATTCAATTCCCAGCACCCAAATGGCAGTTTACAGCCCTCTGACTTCAGTCCTAGGTACCTAATACCCTTTTCTGGTCTCTCTGGGCACCAGGCATGGTCACGGTGCACTTAAACAATTATACAAATTATATTAAAAATAAGATGGGCATGGCGTGGCTGGGCAGTGGTGGTGCATGCCTTTAATCCCAGCACACTGGAGGCAGAGACTGGCAGACCTCTGAGTTCGAGGCCAGTGTGTGGTCTACATAGCAAGTTTCCAGGACAGTCAAGGGGACACAGAGAAACCCTGTCTCGAAAACGAACAACAAAAACAAAGCAAACAAACACAAAAAATGGGCACGGTGGTACATGACTTTAATTTCTGAATCTGGGAAGAAAAGACAGGTAGATATCTACAAGTTTGAGGCAGCCTGGTCTACACAGTGTAGTCTATATAGTCTATAGTCTACATAGCCTGGCTATTAGTTGAGTGCCTGTCTCAAAAAGTATTAAAAAAAGAAACTTCAGCTTCACTTAGCAAACCCAAATCTTCCAAGACAGGCAACACTGTGTGTGTGGTTTATGCACATGGGTGGAAGTGTATGCATACCTGTGTGCTACTGGGGGCCAGAGAGCAATGTCAAATGGCCTGCTCTTTCATTCTCCACCTTATTTCTTAGACGCTCTTACTGAACATGGAGCTAGGCAGGTAGCCAGCAAACCAGTACTGCCTACCCTCAGTACTGTTATACAGAGCCAAACCCAGCTTTTAAAGCAGGTGATGGGTGTTTGAACTCAGGTCTTCAAGCTTGTGCAAAATTTCTCACTTTCCCACTGAGCCATCCCCTCAGCCCTGACAGTTTTTTATTCTTCACAGATCACTTAAACCAGGGGTTCTCCACCTTCTTAATGCAGTGACCCTTAATACAATTCCTCATGTTGTGGTGACCCCCAACCATAAAATTATTTCATTGCTACTTCCTAACTGTAATTTTGGTACTGTTATAAAAGGTAATGTAAATATCTGATATGTGACCCACAGGTTGACAATCACTGACTTTAAACTCATGTATTTCTCTGATTTCTATGGTTCACTAGGGGGAAAAAAAAAATCACATTAACCCAGAGTTGGCTTTACAGATCTACTGTTCAGTTACTGGCCTAGGACTGGACTTGGGAGTATAATATCCACAGATGTGATTGGCACAGGACCACCCACACAATGGTTCATTTTCAAAATAAGGCTTTTGACTTAACAGCCTATTCCTAGAACTCACTTTGTAGACCAGGCTGGCCTCAAACTCACAGAGATCTGCCTGCCTCTGGTTCCCAAGTGCTGGGATTAAAGACCACTACAACCATTGCCCAACTAAATTTCTGTTTCTTAGGAATGTTTCTACTGCAAGCTGAAGTGGCGCAAACCTGTAATTCCAGCACTCACGGAGGCAGAGGCAGGCAGATCTCTGAGTTTGAGGCCAGCCTGGCCTACAAAATCAAGTCCAGGACAGCCAAGGCTACACAAAGAAACCCTGTGTCTTGGGGTTAGGAGGGGGAGACAGTCTTAATCTGTCTTAAAAAAAAAAAAAAAAAAAAAAAAAAGAATGTGACCTGTTCTGCATAGCTGTTACCAATGTTCTCTTCCAAGCTGCACCACTTTGTGCTATGTGAAGTCATAAACTTCAGCTCAGCAGACACAAACTTTAGAGATGACCCAGCCAGGAAAGGGGCATAGTTTCACATCAGAGGCAGGCAGAGAGGAAGTGAGTTCTACAACCTGAGTTCTACAAAGTGAGTTCCAGGACAACCAGAGCTACACAGAGAAATCCTGGCTTAAAAAACAAAACAAACAAACAAACAAACAAAAAACAAATTTGAAGCGCAAGTCTCAACAGGCCGAGAAGCAAAGAATAAAGATTAAGAGCCCCAAAGACGTGGTAAAGAGATCTTATATGTGGGCAAACGCAGGACTTTGCCGAAGTGGTGTGAATGGGGACAGAATGGTTCTCACTGGCACTGGTTAACTCTTCTGATTTGGATAGTCTTGTGTGGCTGTGGCTGGCCTTGAACCTCTTTCCTCTGCTTCCCCTGTATGTTAGGGTTACAGGTGTGCATAAGCATGACTGGCTATTGTTTTTAGTTTAGTCTTCTTCCTCCTTACCCTCAAAGGCCTCACCTGGTCTTTTAATGGCGTTTTCTCTTCTCTCCCCTTTCTGATTCACCAACCATTACTCCCTGGGAACAAACCACCTTTATAACCAAGTCAGAAGACTAAGATAAGGCTAGGTGTCATGGGCACACCTGTTCTCTCTCAGTGCTTACGAGACAAAGGCCAATGGATCTCTTAGGCCAGCCTGGACTGTATTGTGAGAGGTCATCTTAAACTGCCTGTAAACTCCTTGGCTCTCCTCCCTTTGTAGTCCTTTCTAGAAATTCTTTCCTAGTCAGATATTGGTAGCTAGCACATGTTGGTAAGACCAGCTTTCAGAAGACAGGACGATTCAAGACCAGCTCGGGCTACATAAAAAACTGTCTTTAAAAAACACATTCTTTTACACACAGAGACTACTCACTCTAGCATTTTCCTAGGTGATTAATCTCAAAGTTCTGAACTCTTAAGGCTGTGCTCCATCAGAAAGCCAACAGAGGAGGCCAAGTGCTTAAAGCCCAACCAAATCTCTGAAGAACCCATTAAATTTATTATCTGAAAGAAGAAAAAAGGAGACTTAAATGTTAACTGTCACTTCTGAGGGAATTTTCTTTTTATTTGCATTTAAAGTTCCTTTCCTTCCCGTGTTCCAGTCTGTGAACAGCTTATGCCTGATTTTCATGTTAAGTTCCCTGTGGGAGGAGGCTGGGGAAAGCCTCATCACATACAAAAGCATAACCCACAGATTTCTATGTCTGATCATTTCCCTCTTTCTTGGTGTTACCTGCTTTATATATCCTGATGCTCCTTGCTTGCTGTTTGGTGTAGGAGAGAAATGCAGTGGTGGGACAGCAGAAGTACTTTCGAGTGATGCTGTTTCCATTTCTAGGAGCCTCTGGGATGCACTCAGATTCCTGAGGACCTGGGTCTGCAGCAGACCACGTATGAAGAAAGCCCACTCATGAAGAAGGCCCACTCTACCCTGGGCCCTCAAGAGAAAGCACTGTGCTCTAAAGGCAAGGGCATATGGTCAGGGAGCAGACTGGGCCCCTGGACAGTGCAACAGTAAGGAGTGACATCATGCATGGCTTGATTCCCCAGAGATAAGCAGAGAGACTAGGGCATAGATGCCCCAGTGTAACCAGGAAGACTGTAGATCATAACGATGGTCTCTGATTTGGCATCAAAGGTGTGATACTGTCAAGGACACAATGGCTGAAGTGGCACCAATATGCTGCAGCCAGAGAAGTGAATGGCCAACACATGTGTGAACAGACGATGTTCTGGGAGTGCCTTAGCCAACAGCTCAGAGCTTCACATGAAGGCCACTCTGCCTGGCAAGCTTCTCTTGAACAGTATCTCCCATGGAGCCTTCGAGGCACTTACATAGCATATTTTTGTGTCCACTCTCTTGCTAGTCTGTTATACCTGCAAGAAAAAAGCAGACACTAAGGAAATCAGATTTATAAAGGCCTCAAGAAAAATGCTGGGAGAAAAGTCACTTTCTGTGCTAATCTCTTCAGATAAAAGTAACTGATAAACTAAAACACTTAATAAAGATAATCTTTAAAAGAGCTAATACTGGGGACTGGAGAAAGGGTTCAGTGGTTAAAAGTACTGGCTGTTTTTCTCAAGGACCCAGGTTCAATTCCCAGAACCCAAATGGCAGCTAACAACCCCCTGGAACTTTAGTTCTAGAGGATCCAATGTCCTCTTCTTGCCTTTGTGGGAATCACATATGCACATGGTATACATACCTGTGTGCAGGCAAAACACCCATACACAAAACATGAAAAATCTAAAAAAAAAAAAAAAAGCCCGATCCAGAGCCACACACGGGACTGTGCCATTGCCAGAGGTACTGCTGCCTGAGCTCTGCCATCCTTGACCCCCTGCTCAGAGACTGACACATGACAGTGAGTCCTGCATGTGCTTTAGCAACCAAGCTTCAGTGCAACATTGTGCCTGGCCAAAGCGGGGAGTGCTATAATTGTGGGTATGGAAACCAGTGTGCAAACAGGTGGCAGTGAGGGCGGGCCTGCTGACCAAACAGCCACACACTCTTGATGTGTAATCCTTACCAGCAAACTAACCTCAGTCTCATTCTAGCTGTGTCCCAGCAGATAGCCCCCCTTAATAATGTCATAAACCTTCTAATATAATACAGGATTTCCTGTTGTCATATTCTTCCGAGTCCTTTGTTGGCTGGCTACTGACTTAGCCGTCCCCAGGTCAGGATTTGACAATGTTTTAGGATTCAGTAGTGGTAGCTGGTGAGCTGTCCACAGGGCAAAGCGCTTTTATCCCTTCTCTGAGTTTCAAAGGACATGTTAGTAAGAGCCAGGAGGCTAAGCCCAGGGCACCCACTGCATACATGAGCTTGGCCCGGGCAGGACGATGTCCGTGGGAACCTGGGCAGCCGTACACAAAGTCAACTCAAAGAGGACACATACTTCTCTCTGTTGGCCTTGTAGGCATGGGCTATTTCTGGCACCAGTGGGTCATCAGGGTTGGGGTCGCAGAGCAGAGAGCAGATGGACAAGAGAACTAGGAAGAAAAGAAAGGGTCAGTCAGCTGAGGTCATGAGGCTATGCGTTACTTGTGGGTCCAGCGAACCTCCTGAAATGCACTGTCTGTTTCCACTTAAGGAAACACTTAAGGATTCTGTTCAAGTCTAGATATTTGATGTTAAAATATCAGCATAACGCACATTACCGTGTAACCCAACACATTGTTCTAAGATACCTCCCGGCCTTCACTTCCCCTGAAACCCCTGTGGTCTTAGCTCTTACATTCTTCCAAAACCTCAGTCTGTGCCCACACATCTTTAGTGCCCCAGAAGTCTTTGATTAGTGGCAAGAAAACAGGAGTTCAGAATGTCGAAGCTAGGATGAGACTCTGAACCAGGATGCAAGGCCAATACATGCCTGTTTCTATGCTCTCCTATGTTGGGAACAATGTCAAAGGACTTGAACAAAGGAAGTCATTTACCAGGGCTTGCTGAGGAGAAGATGGGACTTTGAGAACTATATTTACACTTTGCCCTGAATCCACCATGACTCAAAACAAACTGGCTTTAGTGAATCCAAAGTCCTGACAACAGTTTCCTACAGGTAAAGCTACCCACGGGGAAAGCCAGGTTCCATTAAAGAAGACACTCAACTCTTTTCACATTCCACAAGCGTGGCACTCTATAGGGCTGTGGACCTCCCTCCACACCACTCCGGGCTCCCTGTCCTTTCTCAAGTGTCCCTTGTTGCTATTTCCCTTTCCTCTCTAATTTCTAACTCCTTACCTAAGATGTCCCTGCCCTAGGGGCTGGCAGACTCTGATGGCTGCCCCTGGGCAGTGGGATAAGCATGCCTGCCTGAGGTACAACCCAGAAAAGAGCCATTTTGCCAGAACGTTGGCCTGATTTCCTATACATCACCCTGATAAGAGTCCACTGCACAGTATAGTGGTTCTGTCCTTCTGGATTTACTGTATCTACCTCTGCAGGCCTTTTCTAACATTCCAAAGACTGTCCTGCCAGTTGTCCCAGGCAGTCTGAGGCCTTGCCCAATGCCAAAGCTCTGTCACTTGTATTGCCTTATGTGCCACTTTTCTGGGGGTGGGTGGCCTGGTGTCCTCATACTCAATCTTAGTTCTGGAGTAACTATGGTTGTATAGAATGGTTTAGATTGGATTTTTTTTGAGGTGGGGGTCTCTCGCACACTGGCCCTGAACTCTTGATCTTCTTGCCTCAGTGTCCTGAGTGCTGTGATTATAGGTGTGTGTCGCCATACCCAGCTGAATTCTTTTTGTTTTTGAGACAGGGTTTTTCTGTGCAGCCATGGCTGTCCTGGAACTCACTTGGTAGACTAGGCTAGCCTTGAACTTACAGAGATTCATCTGCCTCTGCCTCCCTGAGTGCTGAGATTAAAGGCATGTGCCACACCGCCTGGCTTAAACTGAATTCTTAATCTCACCCACAATATGCTCATTATCACTTATTTGGGAAAAGACTCTTGCAGTCAGGCCCTTTATCCGTCCTTTCAGAGATGACTCTGTGCTGATCCTCCTTGGATGAAGGAAGGAAAAGAAAGGTTTAATTATTTGCCTTCTGACTTTTAGGGGAAAAATCCAAGGAAAGTTGATACCGCCTTCTTGTACCCATTTGACAGTTTCGAGCATCACATAGCAACTGACTACTGAGTACTACTACGGCATAGGCACAGTACTTTATACATTATCTCCTTACAGTGTGGAGAATGAGGTGGGCACAGGACTAGGCAGGGCTTTGTGATCTGGGAAGCTGTCTGTTCTTCCTGAGCTTCATGTCCACTCTTCAGCAAGGGAATATATGACAGAGGCGTGCTAAGTACATATCAGTGTCTCTACCTTTGGACACAGTCAACGCTGGGGACCACTGCGACCTCAAGATGTCCAGGCAAATGCTTCCACTGCTGTTGATATTAGGGTGATAGATTTTGGTAGTGAAAGCAACCTGTAAAAATAAGACATCAAGTCAGAGAAACCACAGGAAATCTGGAAAATAATCCAGGTGAAGAGGACACAGGTTGCGCCGAGCTGGGTCAGCAGTGCAGCCACCCCAGCTTCTAATGGGGCATAGGCAGGCATCCCTAAGACAAGTCAAGTACCCTGACCCACTTCTGCTGGATTCTCATGTTGAACATGGGTCATTGATGCCAACTTCACTATGCGCTGAGCAGTGAAGAATAATAAGCAGGGTGGTAGAAAGAACCCAAAGTTCAAATATCTATGCAAAACAACTCTAATTATGGCTACAATGAGGAAACAAAGTCAGCATAAGAAACAGCCAAATAAAATTCACAGCTCACTCTTTGCTTAATTACTTTAGTCTAGGTGGCTTGGATGAAAAAACAAAAAAACTGCAACTATTTTTCCTTTTTTTTTTTTTTAAATTGAGATAGGGTCTCACTATGTAGCTCTAGCTCTGGCTGTCCTGGAACTTGCTATATAGAGTAGTCTGGTCTCAAACTCACAGAGATCTGCTTGCCTCTGTCTCTCAAGTGCTGGGATTAATTATGTGCACCACCAGTGCCCAGCTGAAAAATTTCACTTTAGCCATCATTGGTTTTGGTTGAATACCAAGCATAGATGTTTTGTTGTACCAAGGGAAAAAAAAAAAAAAGCACCGTAAGAATAAGATGCAACATTAATAGGAAATCCCAGTCCCCACCCATTTAAGATTCTCTTCACAGAATTTACCTTCAGTCTTAGGCCACAGCACCTTGAACCGGCCTGGTTAGGATTTAAACAAGAGAATCACCCTTCAACTACTTGTTATTGCCCCTCTCTCACACCTTTAGGCAGGGTCTATGTAGCCCAGGATGACCCAGAACTTAGGTATCCTGAAGGCATCTAGCTTTCCATCTTACATCAGCTTCCTGAGTGCTACAGATGTTTCCCACCAGAACCAACTCAAAAATCATGTTTTAAAATAACCAGTCTGGGTCTTAGAGTTCTCTGCTCAGGAACATGTTGCTGTGCCCTGGTATTATGGAATGAATGCTGGCATCAGAGAATGCCAATGTGAAATAGAGCAGCTTTTTTTTTTTTTTAATAAAAGTGATTTTTTTGTTGTTAAGATTTATTTATTATTTATAAATACAGCATTCATCCTGTACACCAGCTCTCCCTATAGATGGTCATGAGCCACCATGTGGTTGCTGAGAACTGAACTCAGGACCTTTGGAAGAACAGCAAGTATTCTTAACCTCTGAGCCATCTCTCCAGCCCCTAGAGCAGCTTTTTTATGCACACGAAACCTTCACCACACTGGGCCTCCTAATAGTTCCTTGTAGAGCGGAGGAAGGACTCAGGAAGTGCATAGCACTGCCAATGGGTGGTCCAGGAGGAGGGCTGCTGGACAAGGGAAGAAAATTATTTTAAGATTTATTTAGTTTGCCAGGCATTGGCAATCCTAGCACTCATGGAGGCAGACAGGCAGATTGCTGTGAGTGCAAGGCCAGCATGATCTATAAAGCAAGTCCAGGATAGCTATGGCCAGACAGAGAAACCCTGTCTAAGAAAAAAAAAAAAAAAAGAAAAGAAAAGAAAAAATTATTTATTTTGACTTTATGTGTATAAGCAATTTGCCCCCACGTATGTCTATGTACCATATGTGTGCAGTGCCCACAGAGGTAGAAAAGGGAACTGAAGTCATAGATGATTGTGAGGCATCACATGGGTATGAAGAATCAAATTTGGGTTCTCTGGAAGAGAAGCAAGTGCTCTTAACCACTCAGCCATCGCTCCAGCCAGGAAGAAACCTTTTTTTTTTTTTTTTCCGGTTGTATAACCCCTAAGTTGCCTGTTCTTCCATAAGAAATCCTAACTGAACTGACTGTTCACCATGCCAGCCTTGGGGGAGGGTCGGCATTCTTGGGTCTATCTGCCATACGTGCCAGCACCAGGGTTGATGTGGGACCGATTTATCTCCCACACCAAAAATAAGTTTCTCCAAATTAAATATATCTATCTATCTACTTATCTATCTACTTATCTATCTACTTATCTATCTATCTATCTATCTATCTATCTATCTATCTATCTATCTATCTATCT